GCACTTTATATGAGTCGATCACGTGTCATGAACGTTCTTATTCTTGTCTTATGTCTGGATTTTCACCCTGCTTTCTTTACTTCCTTCGAAGGGCATAGTTCTAATAGGACATAAAGTGTGTGCTTTTCCATCTATACTCCCGTCCTTTGATTGACAGAAGCCTGTAACCATCTCACACGGTCAGAAAGCCAAGTCGGCAAGTGACGGCCTCGGCTGCACGATGTACGCAGGTTTTGAATTCAATTTCGAGAACTAATAGCTCGTACAGAAATAGTTTGTGTGAACCTGAAATCTTTCTCCGTGCTTCATCCTACCCCTGCGTTGGTTTTGAATTCCTGCGAAAAAATGAACGATGAAGTATTCGGCGTTGGCTAATTCCTCCTGGAATGTGCCTCGCATTTTACTTCTATTCAAAATCGCAGTGGCATTTAAACCCTCTTGTATTATGCGATCTAGCCTGCACAATCAACTAAACTGGTCGCCGCCTCTTTAGGTTAAATTGAGCACTTCTTCCACTTCTTCAATGTGCTATTTGTTGAACTAGTTCCACTCCGCTTGCTACCACGCGCATAACGCAAGCTTTAGTGAAACTGGACAATGACAAGGAGCTCATTTGCCACTGCTCGCCACACCTCCCAGACATCCACCACTTTCCAAATTTAAAAAATCAACTGCTTAAATAAGTCTACTCATGGTAGTGTAGTAGGAGCATTTTACTGGGTGAACATCTAACGCTAGGGCCGTTTCGCCCGATATGTAGTCTCAAGCGGTGAAGCGGATATGTTTACATTCTTTTCTGAGTTCCGCTTTCCATCCCCCCTCCCAAACTTCCTTGTAAGGTGATATCACCATCACCCACCCCCGACCTACCTCCACACGCGAATTCAAACCGTGGAATGATGAGAGTGTGCTCGCAAGGGGTTATTCAGCAGTAGGGTGTGTTATGTATTACCATTGTCCTCTGCAAAACATCGATACCACAAGACCTGCGCTGGGTTCTTCAGTGTTCCTAGCGTTGCTTCACCTCAATTTTCTTGCCGCTTTTCGTGACATGAGACGAAAATTTGAAGAAATTTTAAGAAGGACATCGACAAACGCACTTGCGAACTTACAAACATACAGATCACAATTCCGTGAACTTTCTGCGCCCAGCGATCTCAGGAGCAATTTACTTCTTCTCATTTGCTTTGAAAAGGTCCTAAGTATGCCATTGAGTCTGGTGTTGTCGCAAATCTGCAATGAATACGTTTCTATTTCCAACATTCCCTAGGAGAATTTTTTCGCCTTGGAACGATGGATTTTTTCGAAAGGAGTTTTTGTAGCCAAACTCATTCGTCTTTGTTAATTGCGAGAAAAAACCTCAGATTTTTTCTTCTCCTCGATTTTCTCGAGAGTAGACTTTCGCTTTCACATTCCTTGAATTATCTTTTGAAGAATTGCCTAGTCATGGATCGCTGCTCCAATCCAATAATGCCGGGCAAATTCCAAAATAGAGGGATAAATAAACAACTAGCAACTAAACAATCTATTGGCTGCCCCTCTTCCCACGAGAGCGTGAACAAGTAAACATCACTCGAGGATTATTTAGTTGGACGCATGTCATTACAAGGTTTCCTCAGGAATGAGTAATGCATGCATGCCATCAAATAACATCCGATATGTATTAGAAGACTTCGGAACCACCCTTGGCCAGCGCAAAGAACAGTCAATCACCCACGGGATCGTGGGCCGACGGGCTATTATTCCCTGAGAGACTTCTCGTTGATTGACCGCTAGAAAAACTGAGGTGCATGATCTTCCTCAGCGTATTTCTTACCCTCTATTTAGTGATGAGCGAAGTTTCGCATTCTTGTTTATCTATTCCGATTTGGAATTATGCAGTTTTGCAAATAGCTGCTCCAGATGACTGTAGAGATTCAGATGTCTTCCGAGAACTGTTCGCGTAACGAGAGTTACGACTTTGCTCGCTATGCAGTCATTGTCTACATCGGTACTCCGATCGCTCTGGCTGGAGTCGTCTGCAACTGCATACCTCCTGGTAAGATTAGGGCTTGCAAGCTCTAGAAATCCAGAAATAGCTCCCAGAAAGATAGTAAGATGGCCAAATTGTTTGGTTCTTCTGTGCCACACGAGGCTAACAGTTGGAACCTTTTATGACAGGCCCGACGTCTCGACCTTTTCGTCTTCTTCAGAGGCTTGAAGATAGCTCCAGGCTCAGCAAAAAGTGTGGCACGAAAGAACTAAACGATTCGACTATCCGTGTGCCGAGGTTCCAACAAGGGATGACGTGGAGACTATAATAGATAGTAAAATGTCTTACTATGCTCAGGTAAAAATCGATAAAAAATGCGTTTTTTCCAGCGGCTGTTCTCTAAATGCCATCCAAGGAAATCTCCAACACTGTACCTGCTGGTGCTGGCCATATTTGGTAAGCTTCTTGTCGTTCTATCACGTACTTGAAGGGTGCAGATGAGGTCGAGCGCAGATTAGTCGATTTTAGAAAAGGGCGATGTGAGGCGAGCTCACTTGCCAGGCTCTTGATCGCCCTCTACGTTTTTCGGTCTGTTCACTGGTGACTGGTGAACAACCATCTCTTATTTATGCTTATCTGAAATGGATTGAGAAATCCACTTGTGCTCATCCGCTTCCTTTATTTATGTCCATTTATGTCAGATCTGCTGATGGATTTGCTCTACATTCCATTTTTCACCGTCGACGCACTTGCAATCTATCATCAAAACGAGTTCCTCTACCATATATGGCACGTGTACGCGATGCTGGTCTTCGGTACGAGTCGAATGGGTGAGTTTCCAATGTACAAAGCTCACTACATCTTTAATGTTGGCGTCTCCGACGAACTCATTCCCCTTTTTTTCTACTGCCGGCCCACTTGGCACCAATGCTTTTATTTTTGTATACAAGGGCCACACCAGCTTGATTCAGGGCGTGTCTTCAGAGACCATCCATTGAAAACGCCCTTCCAAGGCGCACGCATTTTTATTCACGTCAGTGCAAAAGTCTCAATGTCAAATTAGAGTGCAGCAGTGCTAAATTCCATTAGAACTTTAGCAGCGTTCAATTTCCATCAGAGCCAACTACCGAATTCAGTTCCCTAATAAAGTACTGGCTGACTGTAGCACTACTACAATCCAGCAGTGGAATCAGAGGCCGTTGACAACGACGTGAAAGAAAGGAAGAAACGTGGCTTAAAAAAGGAGTTCACGAGGGTCAAGAAAGGGAAAATTGCATAGTTGGGAGACAGGCGGACCTCCTGAGGGTGCTGACCGACGCGCAATTGGCAGCGAAAGATTTGACCTCGGCGATCTAGCATGGCTCACTCTTGGCGCGGTTGGCGGGGACGCCCACCGACTATCTAATCACTCGCCGCAGGTCTATACGTGGCGAGTGATTAGATAGCAGAGAGAGCGTAGTGTTGAAGAGGGCACAGCGATGAGAGTCGCATCAATGCGCAAATCAACGGGCAAGGAAGGGGTCCCATTTCTCGGGTTCCGGGCCGTTTCACATGGTTCTTCTTCTCATGGCTAACCGCATCTACCCTTACTTTTCAATGAACTAACTTTTCATCGTAGATTCTCTAAATCCTGCCTTTGAAAATGTAGAGCAAACAATCCCGTGAAAACCTTCGCTGGGAACACAATAATAATAATAATGAACTCTTGAGGGTTCGGAGGAACACTTGGAATTCTGCAAGAAGTTTTTTCACCTCGATTCTAAATTTCCATGAATCTCTGCTAGTAAGGAGGAGTCTCGAGCAGGGATTCAGGAATCACGATAGAGCAGAATAGTATTTTTTTTTCAGAAGTAGAATCCCATGAGTCTTTTTTTTTGTCTGGAACCCTGCAATTTTTGAATGCACTACAGTTACAATCATCAATTGGCTGCAGTGAAAGTATTTCATTATCCCTTTCTTTGAAGTATCATTTAAAAAGATGTCGAGTACTGCCAATTGCCTGGATCGAACCACCCAGGTTTTCCGAGGCTTTCGCGCCTCCGATGTTACTAGGAACACCCAGATCAGTCCGGGAAAATAAAGCCTATTCATCGGCAGTGGATACCAAATAAGTCAGTCCCGCACTCTCCCCACATAGGTCCCCAACTGACATGCAATTTCCATGAAGTATCCACGAAAACCCTCAGCAAAGCTCTGTTTTCACCCTCCTGTATCACAAGGAATTCTTTCAATTCCAGTTCAATTTGCCTCGACATACATGGTGCTATGTGCAACAATGGAACGATTCATTGTCGTGGCTGAAATTCATTCGCTCCAATCGCTAGTGAGGTGTGTCCAGGAATTTCAACTTTTTTTTCCGTTTCTGAAAATTTCTTTTAGGGAAAACGGTCGTTACCTCACTATAGGTGTGGTCATTGTTTGTGTTCTGGGACTTCGAGTGCCGGCCTTTTTCGAGTACGTGATCGCTTTCCGGCCGGAGTGCCCAATCTATATGGTGAGTTTGATGATCGTTCTTTATCTCTTTCGTGGAATTATATATTAGAAAAGTCCGTAGAGGCGGCCAACTTTAGAAGTCCATCAGACTTTAACCGAGCTCTTGACTCATTGATGAGGAGTTACACTGTCGACTCTGCTAGGCTTGGGCTGTCGATGCAATGCGAAGCAGCAATGAGTAGCTCACAAGTAAAACTGCGATGTAGCAGAGAATGCTGAAAAAAGCTCAAGCTTCTTCCATTTCTCATATCCAATATATCATTAACATGCTGTCACACCCTAATTAGGGTTTCCATGCGTAGAGTCACTGAATAGTGTTGCAAAAATTCTAAGGCAGGAGGCTGCTCCTGATACGCTCGAACAGCTTTATCCATAAGTGACCTTTGAATTTTTAGAAGAGATTTAGAAGCTAATGGTGAAATATTTGTGAAATGTAATAGGTTGGTGCACAAGTCTTGAGATACCCGGATGCGTTTTTTAAATTTTTTTTTATTTTATCCAATCTCTAGCTATCCATGAACTTTATAACCACAATCCTTATCTATGACATTCATCCAACGGGTGAGCAGATCGGCTATTTCCTTCTCCCAGAAATCCATCCTCGATAGATCCTCGACGCAAATATCTCTTCAACTAGAAAATGTAGAAGAAAGCTAAACATACTGTTAGAAAGCGCAAACCTTCCGCTTTCCAAAACTGTCTTCTTTTTTCAAGATCTTACGAAATTAGAGAGATATTGCCTTTTAAGTGGCAAAAACTCGCATGAAAAATTCAGCGTCCTCGACGCTGACTCGACGAAATTTGAGAGACCCTATCTCTACGAGGCTTTCAGAGCAATTTCAACACTGGTTGATAACGCGAAATCCAGCTCTATCTAACCCTACCACATACTGTTCAAAAGGTTATGAAATGGGGGAATGGCAACCTTTTCATCGAGGGTGTAGATTTCTGTGGTTTTCTGGGGCTCTCCAGCAAATCTGACCCTTGTGATAAACCACGCGCAACTGCCTGTGAGCGTACAGTCCATATCCGGCAGACAGGGTGGGCGGGGCCATATACGTGATTGCGGACTACACAAACTTGATAGTTGTCGCAGCGATCAGCTGATTTATATTCGTTGATTTCTACTATTATTCTGATGTTCTGCTGTATTCTAGTATTCTCTAGCACTACTCTACTTATTCAACAGAACAGGTAAGTCAGTTTCACCGAAAACTATGCTGTTTTGCATGTTGCGGTGTAAATCAAAGTTAGGGAGTCGTACAGAGATCCTAGTTCTAGGGGGGAAGACGTATTGCTGAGTGTCCTCGATACAATTTTCACCCTTGCCAATGTCGGCTTACTGGGTCAACTCGTTATGCGTGTGAATTCTGGCAAGCTATGGTTAGTATACCATGAAGCGAGGTGCGCGGGTTTGAGTCCTGTATAGGGTGAAAGTTTTGCTCACAACAAAGCATTCTTATGAAAACGAGTTTATTTTATCGTCTCCATTCATAATCCTCCCAAAACTGCACGATTCAGAGCTACGACTATGTCCCTTGGCTGGCTGGCTGGGAACACTATCAGATATTCAACTTCTACGTGATGACCGTGAGCTCTTGCAATCATATCCTCCTTCCTCATACTATTTAACACCTCACTAGTAAGATTCTCTTTCAGGTTCTGCACGTATTCGTGCCTTTTGCCATTCTGGTGATTCTGAATATTTCGATAGTCGCGCTCACGAAGCGAAAGCTCCATGGAGTCAGCTGGGCAATGACCACACTCATCGATATGCCAAAAGTGACGGAGCTGATTCGGAAAGGTTAGTTATTGCTGGAGAATCATTCCAATTTTGACAATAATGCCCCTATTTCTTGTAAAATGAGTCGTTGCTGCTATCCACTTTGAAAATCTGGGGGGTCCCAAAAATTTGCCTTTTTACCCTTTAAAATTTGAAGAGATGTAAGTCGCTGACCCAATGGCACATTCCACTATTATCTCGCTGCCATTATCTCCCAAAAAATCAAGTATGCGTGCAACATGAACCGTTACGAAATGGAAGCGAAGAAGAAATGTCGAAAAAACGAAGCTAATCGCTTCCTTTGCTTAGGTAGTAAACGACACTGGGAAAAGAAACACTGAACCTCGCCAGCCACGCGCTTTCGAGTCACGAATTCGCTTGTCAATTCCTTTACATGATTCGTAAAGGGTATTGCTTCAATGGTTTGGCCTGACTTATGCCTTGAAAATCATAGAGGGCGAGTTGAAACAATGTTTATAGCTTGTCGCGTGACCACATCCACTTTTTTTGAAGTCTTGCCCATTCCCCTTCATACTTTTCATGCACCTTGTGATAAAAGACTCTCTTTCGTTTATTGAACGTACACTAATAAACGCGCTCTCAATCTACGTGAAACGAGCACGTGCGCTAAATCGCTTAAAAGGCTACCTCAGGACACTGGTTGGTCCATGTGCACATGTGATATGGTACTGGTGGAATGGGGCCGCAACCGAAAAAACAGGAAAAATCCGTCAAAAACGCTTAGATTAAGGGCTCACTCTCCTTCCTGATCGGCTGTGCTAAGGGAATGAGACTATGCGCGGAGGGGAGAGTATGAGGCGAGAGAGTACTACAGATGAGAGAGCGCCAGACAACAGCCTGATAAGAAAAAAAAAGTCTGCAGCTTGGGCAGCTTACTTTGCAAGGCCTAAGCGCTCTTATCGGTCGGTCTTCGTGCACGAGGACGCCACATCTGTGATTGTCCTCTAGGGTTCTATACTAGTGACCGAAGAGAAGCGTTCACACACCACGTGGTTGCCTTTAAATTGAATCCGCACATTCTGCCGCTACATCTATACACCTTAACGTAATAAAAGAAGTCTGCACGCACGGAGTAATGCCTAAAATTCGGACCTATCATGGGAGAGTCTAGACTGAAGGTTATAGTTATTAGGTGACAATATCTCAAGTTTCAATCTCCATAATTTACCTTTTACTTTTACCAAACACAAAAACAACAACAAATGCGTTATCAAAAAATTCTCTCGGAACTCTCTCTGCAACCCTGCCTTGATTGTAGGCTTCATCGATTCTACGAGAATATGCAAAAGCACTCGCTTTCGAGTTCAACTTGCACTAATGCAGCGTTAGCAAATCTTTCGCTCACGTGTATGCTCCAGAGTGAAGCAAATACACAAGTGTTGTAGCATAGCCTTTGGAAATAGTCAGCAGAAAAATCAAAGAGTCATGATACTGAAAAAAAAAAAACCAAAAAATGCGGATACTGACTGGCTCAAAGCAATCTCACTAGGAACAAATATTGAATGCAGCGAAAATCGTTCTCACTTTTGAGCCTTTTGTAGCCCCACCATGAGAAATGGATGGAAACTATACACAACCGCCAACATGTCTTCTGAACAAACACTAAAAGCTCAACTCTTATTGCGGTTATAACAATAAAGAGATAATGCATTACATAACCATAAACCCACATGCCAGCCAGAGTGTGAACATCCCTTGATTTACCCAGATTAAAGTCCTACTGTCATTCAATCACAGTCAAACCTTATGAGCTTTCAATCCTTAGCCGAAACAAACTTCATAAAGCAGTTATGTGCATTCAAACAGGCTGGGCAAACATCCGGTGCACCAATATTTTGCTGGCATTTCGAGACTAGCTTTCAGAAATCGATTCTAATCACGAATATTATTTGTAGAAAAGATGACAATTCAAACGTATTAACAGTTCTCAAAATGATCGCCTCTAGCCTTTACACAGTTCTCTGAGCATTTGGCATACGCATGCCATGTGGCACGCAGGTATTTTTCATCAATTTTGTCCCAGGATTCCGAAAAGCGCCGTCATGAGAAGGTTCAAATTTCGGTAACTGATAGGAGAGACTTTTCCTTCATAATAGCTCATACTTGGAAATATATCGTCTTTCCGAAGAATTGGAGAACCATTCGTCATAATTGGTGGAGTTGAGGGTTTGCTCGGTGCACTGTTTCTGGACCATTCACGGTCAGTGTCCTGAAGCTACCCCTTTGGTGAAATTATTAGTAATCCTCTCTAAAGTGAAGACACGCCCATGGTTTTGAACAAATACCGAGTTTGAACGCTATTTGAACAAAATTTGGGGATTTGAAAAATCGTCGAGAACGGTTTCGCATAGCGCTCTGCTGGAGGTTGATTGGTGCATCTTAAGTGGAAGGTCTAATCAGAGTCAACCCTGCGTTGCGCAGTTCGCAACGGCACGTTGAGAGATCCTCAACGCACGCTGTATGGGCGGAGACGCAGACGGCTCGAGCATGCGAGTGTGAATGTTCGCGCGAGAGAACGTGTCTAATCGGGCGAAACTGCGCAACGTGGCCGTTGAGAACTGCGCAACGCAGGGTTGACTCTGCTAACCAATTTGTGTTCAGGGCGTATTAGTAGCAGAGTGTTCAAGCTACATACCATGAAAGAATTAGACAAGAAAGTGTACAACAAGATTCAAAAAAATCCATTATATTTAGGTGCACCAGTAATTTTGCCCCACCCTGTTGATTTTGCTTTATGATATGAGTGACAAACAGTGACAAACACTTCTGGAGTTTATTTGTTCATCAGGCACCTACGCATTTGTGAGGACATAATGTATGTAATTGGCATTATAATGCCAGCTCACTCAGTATAAAGGATAAAAGGTGACCACAAAGAACGAGGGGTGCAAAAACATTAAAGCAGCGCACAGCCAAACTGCTTTGGTTTGGTGAGCGAGTCCGATTCAGAGGAGGTTTCGGTTTGACCTCTGGAAAGATTATAACCCCACTGCCGGCTTCCATCGTCCATGCATACAATGGAGTTACAAGCAGAACACCTGTCACTGTGCTACAGATGGTAATTTTTCTATGCTGATCACTCAAGCTCAAGGGAGATCTTTAGAAGGGGGTCAAACAGATTTCCCACATTCTGAGGAGCATTTTCTCTGAGGCGGAGCTATCGATTACGAATAACATAGGCTTCAACTTTACCCCCTTCAACATTATCCACCATTTGAGACAACTCATACGTACGGGCTGCCCTGCATACAGGTTAGATAATTGCGGCAGAAACTTGGTGAATTTTCTCTGTAGAGAAGCAGGGCGGTAGATCGAAAATATCATTCAGGAATAAATAAAGGAAAGGGAAAGTCCATGTGAAATCTGACGACTACTAACCTGTGAGAGTCATGGTTGGCCCTTCTATTTCTCAATATTTATTGTGATTTCCGGTCTAGCGCTTACAAGGGAAGGTCTTTCAGGTGGACCCGCGCTTTCTCAAAACGGTTTTTTGCATGATGTAGAGGGATGTGCATGGAGTACAGAACTGTAGTCCATTTCCGCTAAATGGCCCTCTGAATGCCAAAAAAGGAGTGGGAAAGTGGTCCTTGGTTCGATTCCCCGCGGTGACAAAATTTTTGCATTGTGATTTGACGCCACAAAATTGGCACCAAAGACGTCAACACCAGGAATTGATGTCATATTTATAATTAGGCTTACAAAAACCCTTACAAGTGGGCGTATACCAAAAACTGGTGAGAGAAAGTTGTGACGCAAAAACGGCACCAACGTGCCGTCGAACAGCGTCATAGGGGTCCGAAATGATGTCGGAGCTAAAAACGAATGTCATATTCGTAATCAGGACACCTGATAACCCTTGTAGTCGAAGTTTCCAAGAAAATCAAGATTTGACCCAACTTCGAAAAATTGCTCCATGAGTAAGTAAATCTGTAGCACGTCAGCTCGACGACGAACTTCTTGGAAATAACCTCTCTAGATCCCTCAAGAAATGAAATGTTCCTACCGTACAGACAATAGCAGACACCCAGGCTGATGTTGGTTGGGGGGGAAGGAGACGCCACCCACAATGCAGCAGTTTTCTGCTAGTTCTTCGCGTGGAGCTCGCCTTCAAGCGACTGGGAATACGTGAAGAGTTACTTATGTTTGGTGCAAATTTTCGAAGTTTGGTCAGAGATGCGATTTTCTCAAAACTTCGGGTATAAGGTAAATCAGTGCTGGTCACGAATATGGCATTGTTTTTCGGAGCCGCCGCTATCTGGCGCCATTTCGACGTTACAACTTTTTTTGCTGCTTTCGGTGAAAACTTACCTCATTGTGGTTATTAATGGCTTCTGGCCTTGAATAAGACATCTATTTTGACATTAGTGCAATTTGGAGCCATTCTGGAAGTGCCAACAGAAAATGCAAAAATTTCGCCGCCTCGGGGATCCGAACCAACAACCCCGACCAAGCGTGCTATTTGAAGTCCGCATCGCTAACCGCTACACCACCGACGTTACCGATATGGGAGTAGCTAAATGCACTAATGAAACTTTTCTCTACAAGCTCTTCAGTACATAGCATGACATCACTACGACAACTTTCCAATTTCGGTCAGGCTTCACGCTGTTTTCGATACACAGCATGCGAGAACCCTTCACTATGCAAGCAGTACACGCCATGAATGAAACACACCACGGTGAGTGTGTAAAAATTGCAGTATCCGACGAAATTACTTTCACTCCTTTTTTGGCATTCAGAGGGCCATTCAGCGGAAATGGACCACAGTTCTGTACTCCATACACATCCCTCTACATCATGCAAAAAACCGTTTTGAGAAAGCGCGGGTCCACCTGAAAGACCTCCCTCGTAGGTGAGATAATCTCCAAAGGCACTGAGAAATTGAACGGCATTCGATGGCCGCCTTTCTAGGAGACGAAGGATTGTTTTTTCTCTTGAAATCATTTCTCTATCACGATTAACTATGACGCGTAGCACTCTATCTCCACATTGACAATGATGCCCA